CCCCCCCCCTGCAGTTGATTTTATTTTGCTATAATTTGTCAATCTTACAGAGTTTAGTTGGCTATCATTATAAGAACAAATTTCAGAAAAATTTACCCTGTTGGGGTTTATGGGTGTTTTTATACTTAAATAACAAATAATAACTACTTTTAGATTTTAGTAATAGAACACACAAGAAATAATTTACCCAGGAAATAGCACTCTTGATTAATAGGGAAATGTAGATTTGCCTATTTCTAAGTGTAATATTCCATTGTATATGATCTTTTTTTAAAAAAGGTATTTTTTAAATCTTTTTTATTTTTCTGTATTTTAAGGAAGGGTCTATAGGGTGTTCAGGATCTCACTACTAGATCAGACTCGTAGTGATCCACCTGTTTACAGCCTCCCCAGAGCTGGGATTACAGTGCGTGCTACCAGGCTCAGTCTCAATTGCTGGCTCAGTGTACCCCCGGGGACAGAGGCGGGGCCGGCACGGCAGGCCTGGGGATTGAACCTCTGCTCCTGCACCTGCTTGCAGCCGCTTCTATATGATCTTTGGACTTCATCTTTACCCAGGGAAACTGTATTTGTCAGTAATCACTAGAGAAACATTTAATGCAAAATACACACATATATAAGATTATACCAGATTAGCTTAGGATAGCTACCCACAGGTTCAGGTGTGGTTGTGCACAAAAGGACTTACTGTGGGCTGGAGAGCCAAAGTATCTGATTGAAGGCCAGCTGTGCACTTTAGTGTCCCATTCGAGTCCATATCAGGAGGCTGAAGGGTCTGTATTAGAGCCTGGAGAGCTGTGCTGGAAGCCAGGAGAGGACCTCCAAGGTGAAGGTGAAGACTAGAGCTCCTCCAGAGAGACAAAAGCAACCTTCCTTCTTCATTTCTGTTTTCTACCATTCAGACAGCAAGCCCATGGGTTGCTGTCACTCACACTGAGGGAGGGTCTTCTGTCTTCAGTAAACCCCTTTGACCACACCCCAACTATGCTGACCCAGTGTGGTTGAGTGTTTCTTAATCACATTGATAGTAACTCGACTGTCACAGGAACCTTGTTGAAAATAAGGGTTAAGTCTCTACTTGTGCCCTGAGTCACTATGGATGGGTTTTGGGGAGATGGGACAGGACTGGGAAGATGCATTGTAAGTACGCTCTCTGAGCTGTTTAAGGGAAACTGGAGTGTGGGAAGCTTAGTGTGAACTGATTCTGTGCAGGTCCTCTGCAGATCTTGTTTTCTAGATAAGCCTATTACTTTCAAGTTCCCATTAATTTTCACCTGAATCTTTTCTCATTTTTCAGTAACTGTAATTGTGATGAGCTCCTTGGATATACACTTATAAATACCTTAGCCACAGAGTTGAACTGTGTGATGTGCTTAGAGTAAGAGGTTCCTGTTGTGGAATTATCTCAAGTCATTAATACTTTTAAGTAGCTTGATGTTTTGCAAAAGTACCGCATGAGAAATAGAAGAGGGGTATCTTCACTTAATTCATGACTACAAATAAAGAATTCAGAAAGCTAATCCACAGGTAGTATTGGTGTGGTACACCCTTGTGGTGTTATCTTCAAAATGTTATCATCAACAGGTACATGAAAACAAAAATATAAGTACTTTTCCCCACTTTGAGGGGAAAGAATAGCAGAAGGTAATTTAATATGACTCGTCACATTAAAGAATATTCATGTATCTGTATTTGTGTATTATGACATAGTATGAGGCTGTGGGTAGCAGTATATGCCTGTACTCCCAGCCCTTAGGGAGGCCAAGACAAGAGGACCACAAATTTGATGCTGGCTTGGGCAACTTAGCAAGACCTGTTTCAAAAATGGGAAAGACCTGGAGATAATGTTCAATGTGGAGGCCCTAGGTTCAATCCTTAGTACCAGGAGAAAGAAGAAGGAATGAAGGAAGGAACGAACGAACGAACGAAGAAAGGAAGGAGAATGAAGGAAGAAAGGGGAAGGGAAGAGAAGAGAGGGGACGGAAGGGAAGGGAAGGGAAGGGAAGGGAAGGGAAGGGAAAGGAGAAGGAATAAGAAATGAGAAGCTAGGTGATCTTGCTAATCCACTCTTTATAAGACCTTATATATTATTTAACAAATAATTGAAGAGGAAGAGAGCACAGCACTATTATATTTTTGTTGTTTTCATGTATCTCTTTTGAAGATGACACAAGTCCCGTGGGTTAGCTTTCTGAATTCTTTATATATGGTCATGAATTAAATGAAGATACCCATCCTCATAGGTCTTCTGTCTCTCATGCAGTACTTTTGCAAAATTAATTGCCTTGGATTTGAGGGGAGTGTTGCCTGTGGATAAGAGCTTTTTCTAAAGAAATAATATGTGATAAGATATCCTTAAATTCATAGTATATTCTGCAATCATATTCATACTCTGATTATCCAAGGTAGCTGGTTTTTACAAGAATTTTGCGTGGAAGCCTTGGGTAGATTTTAGGAAAAGCATACTTGAAAGAGGTAGAGAATCACATAGGTCTACATAAGGGAGATTCTCAGTGATGTTCTCCTAACACTTAGGCCATAGCCTTCTGTGTATGTTTCCAGTCTGCACCTTTAGTCTTGGCCCTTTCTGAGACCTAATTCTCACTTGGTGCCACTTGCTCCCTTCTATCTGAATGTTAAACTTCACCCACAAACTCTGTCTTTCTCTTTTCCTCTTTATCTTGTAACTCTACTCTCCTAGTCATGCAGGTATCAAATCAGAAGGTAAGTTAGTTTTACGTGAAAGAATTTAATAATCAGAGGTTTTTTTTTCCCCTTTTCTAGTTCTGTTCAAAAAAGGAAGCAGCTGCCCAAAACTGTATATAACTTACTATCTGATCGTGACTTAAAGAAAAAGCTAAAACAGCATGGACTATCTATTCAAGGAAATAAACAACAGCTCATTAAAAGGCACCAAGAATTTGTTCACATGTATAATGCCCAGTGTGATGCTTTGCATCCTAAGTCAGGTAAAGTAAAAAACAAGGTATCATTGTCCTGGTAAAAAAAAGTTCTACATAGCTCAGCAAGTACAACACACAGAAAATTCTAATTGTTTTTTGGTGAAAGATTAAATAGGAAAATATATTCCTGTAAAACTACCTAGCAAATACTGTGATAAGCCTACCTTCATCCCAGCTGTCTCCAAGCCCCAAATCTTCTTCTAAGACACAGTGCTGGTTCTCGGACATCTTTGCAGGGATAGTGTGGTGTGGTGGCAAAGAGGGCGTCTACAGAGCCTGGACTACAGTACAGCCTTTCTGGTTATGCTGGGAAATGAGGGCAAATTACTTGATACTTTCTACCTCAGTTTTCTAATTTTTAAAATAAGGATAATGTGTCTAACTTCCCAACATTTTGAAAGAAATAATTGATATAATGCATGTCAAGTGTCCTGCACAGTACCTTAGCAAATAGCATTGCATAAATGTTGCCATTATGATTAAATAGTGTACCCAGAATGCTGACATTTTTGTTAGTATACAAATATGCGTCCTTTTACAAAAATGTTAGTATTCTGTGTACTCTATTAAGTGGTTTCTTCTTTTTGTTTAGTAATACACATATTTTGGAATTCTTTCTATTAGTAGCATATATAGAATTAACTCATATTTTTAAAAAATTAAGAATAGCATGCAAACAGGAAGGTACATAATTTATAAGAGTCTTGTTTGTTAAATTATCGCTAAGTAAATTTGACAAAGTGCCTTTCCCCCCGCTGCTGAGGTGCTGTCAGCATTGCAGACATTGTGTGCCTGCGTCCCAACAGTCTGGCATTCGGCTGCTATCCTGCTTTCCTATACTGCATTTTTGTGTTGCCTGTGTTTGGTCTTTATATAAATGGAAGAACAGCTGTGGGATTGGCCCATGCCCGGTATGCTCTAATAGTTTTTCCTTCCTTTTGTTGCTATGTAGCGTTCCATTATATGAGCACAGTGTGCTTTATCTTGTCAGTGATTGAGATTCTTTCCTCCTTTTGGCTACTAGGTGTGAGGCTACTTAGTAATGTTTCGCATGTGTCTTGGTGTTCATTGACTCACAGTACTGTTGGAGATGAATGCCTAGGAGTGGACTGCAGTGTGCTGTGTGTGCCGATGCTCAGCCTTGCAAGCCTCAGGACCAGTGTGCACCTGTGGAAGTTGTTTCCATCCGACTGCATCACTGGTGTGAAATGACCTGACACTAACCAGTCAAGTTATTTTTTACTGTTCTGTCTCTGTCCCTGCTTTAAGGAAAGTAACCCAGAAGTTTTCAGTCTGTTTTTGGTATTTTTTTTCCTGCATCTTTCAGTACTTCTGTCTGTTAAAACCAACTTTTGCAAGGTGTGGTGGTACATGTGACATATAGGAGGCCCTTATGTGTGATAACAGATTGGTCACCTGCTTAGTGTCTGCAGTGCATCTGTGTACATTTTCCCCCTTGCTACTCATAAAAAATATATGATAATAACACAAATCTGTTTCTGTTTTGCAAAAATCTTTAGAGTATGTCTTGTACTCTGAGTAACTACTTGGAAGATAATGATACACAGGACAGTAACTTGGTTTCTCTTACTATTTGATTATGACATTTTTTTATTGATAAAGTAAAAGATTTTAGGTGCTAGTTTCACTTGGATAGATAATAAAGGCATAGGATTTTTACTTATTATTTATATTGATCCACAGATTTATAATTAATTAAAATTCCCAATGATTTTGATATTCATGTTTTTCCAGATTTGGCCCGCAGGAGTATCTTCATACTTATTCTTGGTCTTATTGCTTATACTTGTTTTTGTTACTGTTTTCCTTATTTCTGGCATAATGAGGCATTATAAGCTCATCTCATCCTTCCAAGTCCTAGCCCTGGAGCTATTTCTCTTTTGAGATGTGATTGTTCTTATTATTGAAGCCACACGGTAGCTACCAGGTGTGCTTACTGTTACTGTTGCCTTTGCTTATAGGCTGCTTCAGTAAAAGGAGCGTGGGACTATCTGCACAGAAATGTATACCAATACACACATGGGTGTGTCTGTACACAGGCATGCATGCATGTATATTCTGTGTATCAGTATTCATATTAATCTGTTTATCCTTAGATATTTTAGAGATCATGAGAATGTATCAGTGCCTCTATCATTTCAGCCACGCAACAATCTTTTTTTAAAATATTTTTTTATCTATCTATTTGGTATAGGGCCTCACTATGCAAATTGGACTCATAGTGATCCTCCTGTTTCAACCTCCTCAGCACTGGGATTACTGGTGTGCACCGCCACGTCTGGTTTTCTGTGGCCTGCATAGCATGCCTGAGGTTCTAAGGCTGGTGCAGCATGTGGTACTGAGGACTGAACCCAGGTCCTTCTGCTTGCCAGGCAGGCACTTAGACCACCGAGCTATCTCTCTAGCCCCTACAAGGTTTTTCTTTACCTTTCTCTTGTATTTCCTTTTTTCATAGTAAGACTCCTCCCTTCTAAAAGGATCAATACATTTACTAATTTGCTCAATTATTTAATACTAATGTAGGACAAATATAACTCCCAACCTCATAGATGTCAGATATGCTGAGTTTGTGTTTCCTGAATAACAAAGAGTGAATTTGAAGGAACAATGGAGGTTAATAAGAATAGGGAAGTTTTATTGAGTGATATCTCCTGAGAGATAGGAGGAGTCCTGAAAGTGGGTTGCCACTGGGACCCTCTGTCAGGGATAATTTATATAGTAAAGTCACAATATCGGTACAACATGGGTCAGCCAACCCCCAAAGTTGTAAAAGTAAGTTTTCATGCAATATTGTACTGATGTGGTTTAATTCTACCAGAAAAATCAAAAGAAAACATTGAATTAAAAATTACAAAAACAGAGCCGAGGAGATAGCTCAGTGGAATAAGTGCTTGCCTGGCAAGCGCAAGATCCTGAGTTTGATCCCTGGTACCACAACCAAAAAAAAAAAGATTTACAAAAATAAATAAAATTTTTTTAAAAATTACAAAAACATAAAAATGTAACATGACACATAACATGGGTAAAACCCACCCATTTACAGTTTGACACATACACACACACACCTTCCCATCATTGTACCAAGTGGGTGAATGCAAAGATTGTTTCCTGTATTTCTTCAGTGTAGCCACTGAGATTCATAGCTGGCAACTACCATACATATTTCATAAGAAAAGTATGTTATGGCTATCTGCAAGAGAATTATTTCCTTTTATTTTTTTATTTTTTAAGGAGTACAAAATGATAAAAAAAAATATAAACAATAAAAAATTTCATTAAGCAAAGTAATAGGAATTTGACAATGGTTGTTGTATTGCATGGTGTTATCTTCAAATTAGTTGTTTAGGTTCCAGATATCCACCTGCAAAATTGGTTTTAAAAAGTTACAAGATATTAAAAAGAAGAAAAAAATAGTTTAAAAAAAAATTAAGCATCAACTCCTCCTTTCAATGGGCCAGCAGAAATAAGCAATACAGTATTCCAGACAATCTTGCATATATACTTGAATATGTCTTTTTCCTTTCTATCTTTTGTCTTTTTCCCCATTCCAGTATTTTTTCTTTCTTCTTCTGGGCTACTACACTAACATCTTTTGGTATTGTCCAGTTGCTGTTAGGTGCTTTGTTCTGCTGCAGCTTTTGTTTGCATTCCTGTGTGTTTCAGATTGGATAATAACAGTTCTGTTTTAGGTTCATTAGTTTTTTCCTTACTTGATTCAAGCTATTATTTTTTAATAGGTTGTATTTTCATTTAATTCTTTGTTCAGAAAATAATTTTTGATATAATTTCTACTGAGTGACCCATTTGTTCATGCGTGCTGTTTACCTTTTCCATGAGATCTCTTAGGATATCACTATCATATTTCTGGTAGTTATTTTAGAATGTGTCTATCTTTTTAATATCTAGATGATAGCTGAATTTCTTTTGTTACTATTGCTTGCTTTTTCATGAGCTGTATAAATTTTTCCTGGAAACCAGTCTTTATATGTAAGACTCTGAACACTGAGATAATAGTATTTGTGCCTAGAAGTAGGTCTGTCTCTTCTTCTGCTAGGGCTTTATTATTTGGGGTTGTATAAATTTAGTCAGGAGTTTAACTTGGTTTGGATTTTGTCATTGCTGTGGGTACTCTCAGATCAACACCAGTTTCACATTTCTTGAGAATTCTCTTGGCTTAGTAGGTTGGTGGGCGAGTTGTCACTTTTTAAGTCATGTCTGTATAGCTCATAACTGAGGTTTTCCCTGTGAGCCAGGAGTACCAGGAAGGTATTTTCAGTGTTCCTTGCTGTTGCTTGTCACTTGGAACCAACAGTTAGGTTGAGCAAGGGCGCCTTCTGTCTTACTCTGATGTCCCCTCTGCATCCCTCTCAGGAGGTCCTTGGAATCTGGGTTGGGGCTCCTCTCCCAGTGTCAGGAGTCCGCTAGTGTGAGCTCTGGTCGGCCTACTAAGCCTCCTGCAGGGATGAAAAATTGTTGTTTGTTTCCTTCCCTGAGCAATGGAATTCTGAGGAAAGCGGTTTTACTGCCCTTTCTGCAGTGCCTTGACTTTTGTCTCTCTAAAGGTACAGATCTGGTTGGGGGCACATATCTCTTATGATGTGGGAGAGGGAAAGTCATCTCTTCTTTTCCTTGTCCAGATCTGGAGGGTCCTTATTCCTACATCCTGCTCTTCACCAGTGAGGGACTGGGAAGCAGTTGGTTCGATGCTCCTGTGGCTCCACCTCCCAGGGCTCATGTACGTTCATGCTAGCCTGCCCTTGGTCTTTTGTATTTCATCAAAATGCTTAACTGAGATCCTGTTACTCAGAGGTAGAGTGATCCAGCCTTTATCCTGTGCTCTGCCCTGGCCAGCTGGTGCTCTCTCCAGTATATCCTAGAGAATGAGGGAGCTCCCTGAAAGGTCACATCCCCCAAATTGTACCAGCCATAATACAGCTTTCTTCATACCTTAGGAGAGGGTATATTAGACATTTCTGACTTTAGTGGTATTTCTGCCAATGAAGCAAATAGAAGGTAGATAGTTTCTTTGTGTCAATGAAGCAGATAGAACACAGATAATTTCCTTGCTTTTGTGCAGTATTTTGACTCAGCATGCTCAGGAAAGAGAGAAGGGCTAAGCAGTGAGTTCTCAGGGAGAAAGATTACCTGTTTCATGATGTTAAGGCAAAAGTACCTCTCAGTGCTTGGGAAGTGTAAACGTTTATTAAATTGAGGCAGTTGGATTCTAAATGATCTTCTTTTGCTCTGTGGGCTAAGACAAATTTAATAAGAGATTACCTCAGGCAGACAGAAAAATGTATACAAATTTTTGTGTGTATCTACTGTACAACTTATCAAACCATCCTAATGTTCTTTCATCAACCATTTGTAGCCCTACAATGTGGGAGAAAATTCTAGACATAAGTATGTAAACATGTAGGTTCTTATACCAAGATTTCTGTATTTTAGTTTTAATTTATTGATTTTGGGTCTAGAAAGACAGCATTTACATATTCTGCATTGTTTGCATTCAGCAGCATTTAATGTGTGATGGTATATTCCAGATCTCTTCGATAAGTGTTTTATAGTTATACCTACTGCAAAGGTTCTAGAGCAAGGACATTTCTCCCTGGTACCTTTCTCTCACCTTGAAAAGTTGTACTGCATTTAATGTATTAGATATTGATCAGGTATCCCTGGAGAATTGAACTCACACTGATCAATTATTTTTATATTCCATTTATATTACTGTTAATACCTATATATTCAGAAAAGAAGGCAAAAGTATTTGACTTTTCTTCTGGTTATATTTCAAACTGTGTGTATATAAACAATTCATTGATGGACTAAGTGCCAGGACCAGAGTTAGATTCCCCAGCACCAAAGGCACGCAGGCCCCACCCCCAGATGCACTGAGCCAGCCAGTGACACCAGGCGTGGTGGCACACACTTGTAATCCCAGTGCTGGGGAGGCTGGAAACAGGAGGATCACTTTGAGTCTGATCTGCATGGTGAGACACTGTACCAAATACATTAAAAAATAAAAATAAAAAATTCATTGTTTTAATCCATGTTTGTTTTTATTTCATTTGTGAGTTTGGATTTTTTTTTTTAATTGGGGATTGAATCCACCCCATACATGCTAAGCAAGTGCTACATCTTCATCCCTTTTTATTGTTTAAATTTTGAGACATGTCCTTGCAAAGTTGCCCAGGCTGGGTTTGAATTTATAATCCTCTACCTCAGAATAACTGTAATTACAGGTGTGTACCACCATGTCTGGCTTCATGTTATTTTTTATTTTTTTTATTTGTTATTTTAAAATAATATTATATTTTGTAGAAAAATTACAATGCTGGGATAGGGAGTTTCCATATACCCATTACCCATCTTCTTCTTCTCTTCACAACATGCATAGCCAAAGTACAATGGTGAAAACCAGGTAGTAAACAGTTTTTATATGTTCTTATTTTGACAGCTGCTGAGATAGTAGAAGAAATCGAAAACATGGAGAAGACCAGGATGCGTCTTGAAGCAAGTAAACTCAATGAAAGTGTATGTTGATGGTCTTTTTCATTGTCTGGATAGAAATGAAGGAAAGAAAAAATTAATACTCTACCAAAGTTACAGCCAGCTCTTATTAAATCTGCTTTAGTAGGAAATATACTAGGACACATTTCTATTTGAATATTAAGATTTATTTGCAGTTCATTCTTAACGTAATATTCAGTTATAATTTGCTGCCTTGTAGCACAAAATGTAGTACCCAAGTAGAATTTGTTCATGAGCCTATACCTTCCTATCAGAGAGCTTTAACACTGGCCCTTTGTCTGTTGATTGCTTTGGGTAAATTGTTTAATCTATGGCCCTTAGAGTCTTCGTCTGTAAAACTAAGAACCTGAGCTGCATGACCCTAAGATCCTTTGTAGCTCTGGCATTCTAAATGTCTGTGATTAACTATAATTAAAGGAAATTGAATAATTATAGAATTTCTGAAAATTGGGTATTCTGCTGTGTTGATAAGGAACTCAGAGACCTAAAATTCTTCACTGTTGCTTTCTTCTAACATGTTTACATTTGTAAAAAGGATTCCAAGAAAGGAAATAGTCATTTTGGGCTCTCCAGTGTATTTGTAAGGAAAACATTACTTTGGGAAGTAGTATATAACCAGATGATAGAGAAAGTGGGCTCTCCATCGATTTTATTATTGTTTGTGTGTGAACTCTGAGGTGGAGTCTATCATGAGTTATGTAAATAGATTACTAATTTTTTAGGTCTGAGATTTTTAAAAGGTAGAATTAGAAATTTAATACACTAAGACTTGTATTACTGCATTTTTTTTTCTTTATGACTTTTCCAATATGACCTGGAGAATTTAGGTAGGAAAGAGAAGGCAGATACATGTAAGTTATCGTTGATCATGGAATATCTTTAAATTCTAGGTATTACTTTTTACATCAATGAAAGTAGAAAATGAGATATGAAAATAGGAAATCTAACGGATTATTTTAATATTTACGTATTATCTTTAAAAATTTGCTACTGATGAGGAAACAGTGGGTAAAATGTATACTATTTAATATCTTTGGAAGCATTCCTCAATCTGTAGAAAGCATATAAGGGATTATTATTCTCCATTATAGACACATTTGAGATTCCTAAGTTTGCATTAGTACTTTCCGTTTTTGTCATTTTGGGTGGAATTTTAAAGATTTTTCTTTATTTAGGCTATGGTTTTCACCAAGGACCAAACAGAAGAGGAAATAGATGAAATTCACCGTAAATATCGTAAGTTGTACAATAGTTTCTTTATTTGCAAAGAACTTAGGTTGCTAGTTCACATCTTAATTTTTTAAAAATCTATTAATGTTTGATAAAAACTTTTATTAATATTACTTCAGAAACTGTAGTCAAACACTTACTCTGGTATTGACCTATTTTGTACTATATTCACTTGCTTTTTGATTTGTGAATAACGTGCTTTGAGCCTGTCATAAGCACTTTGCAAATATGCATTCATTTTCTGAAAATATTTCCATGAGAAGATGAAATTAAAATGAAACATTCCTGATTCCATCTTGTCCTTAGGCCTTCAATAACAGTTTTTCTGTAAGAAATTTCAGTACTACTAATAGCTTTTGAAAATTTGTACTAAAAGTACTTCTCATCTTATTGTTCCCAAACTCCAGCTTTGTCACCTCTTTGTTGTTAAAAGGTGTTTGTAAAGATTTTTTCTTTTTTTTTTTTTTTTTTTTT